ACAAGCTGGAAGATGGAATTAACTTCGTTGCAATTGAAGTTTTTTTTTTTTAAATAAAAGAGGGTTGCTGCTGCTACTGATGCTGCTTCTGCTGCTGGTACACCGGTTCAAACTCGTTTCTTGCAATTGGATTTTGTTCTTTAAATAGGAGGAGAGTGCTGCTGCTAATGTTTCTTGCTATTGGATTTTATTTCCTTTTTTTTCTCTGTCTCTCTTCAAAGTCAAGAGTGGTGAAATTCCTTCGTTAAATATCCACGAGGGATATTATTTATATTGATAAATGTTCTCCCTTCGAACGAAGTATGGAGAAATCGTTGATCCTTGGAATTCTTGTTCACCGATCGAGACGGTTTATTTAGAAATTATATTGGATCTAGAAGAGACGTCGGTTTTGATTGGTCGTCACTGACAAACGTCGATAAAGCCGGAATTGCAAATTAAGAGGGTGTATCCTTTGTGCATGGGAAAAACGTTTTTTCCACGGGACAACGCGCGGAGAGAGTTCGAGTCCGGTGACAGTGGCGCGAAACAAAAATCTGTCGAAACTGTAATCGGAAGTTATTCCTCTCGCACAATATATTCTCTGCTTCTGGCACTAACAAGTTTTTTTCTTCTCGGTATTCAACGGAGAGCGGAGAGAGTTTTGGAGAGGGAAGAGAGGGGGGAAGGTGGAATAATTTTTAGGGGATTGTAAAATGGAAAATATATATTCTTTCTTTTCTCTCTTTCAACGACGAACTTCGAACATGATTCATGATTCGACTGAAAAAAAAAAAAAAAAAAAAGGGAAAAAAAAAAAAAAAAAAAAGAGAAAAAGAAAAAAGAAAAAAAGCCTCGAATCTACGAGGCTCGTTTCGTATCGAGAAACGTGACCTGTCTCTTTTAAACGCGAAAACGTGATAATGGAGGTTTCGTGCGATACGTGAAACTAGTTGAAACAGGCGGAGGATCGTATTAGTTAGCTTCAAAGCATCTGGTGTGAAAGGCAAGTCGGTTAAAACGAAGCTCCAATTGTACAAAAGAGATTCGCCTGAATATTTTAGGTAATTTTCGTTTCGCAATGAAATTCTGCAAATATTAACCGGAATGTATAATTATTTGACAGAAGAAGACGTGTTACTCTGGAAATATTTGAGACGAGGCATAGATAAAGTAGAATTACTCCCTAAGAGGAATCCCTAAGAGGAATAATTCATTTAAATTTAACGAATGTCCTTATTGCAGAATTTAAACATCTTCCCTTACTTCCTCCATTGTTCGGTCACTCACTCGAGAATATTAACTTTGAATTTTTTTTCCAAGACTATCACAGATCTTTTCCTTCGAGGCTGATATTTTAATTATATCATTCACTCTGTATAATTATTTTCGCAATAACTTTAAACCATAATCCAAATAATAATAATCTAAAAATATTTCAAAATATTTCTTCTCGTAAATCGAAGTCAAACGATTATTAAAAAATACACTTCAATTTCTTTCTCTTCGAAAAAATTCTTAATATCGGCCATTCTTCATAGTTTCACACAACGATACGCTGACTTTAATCGTCCATCACGAGAATTCCATCGAATTGCTGAAAAGCTACCATATAGAATACCCTTCCTCCAAAAATCGAACTCGAAGAAAAAAATATCAGAGCTCAACAAGTTTCCTTCCTTTCGATTCGACGAAGGAAAAACAAAAGGCAGAGGGGGAGTTTAAACGCGGTCCATTTCAAACTGAAATTTTCCTTCGAATTAATCGGAACCTTCGTCTTCTTTGCCACGCCCGAAAAAGGGAAGCCGAGCAGCATTCGTGATTTTTCATCCGGTGGCTCTTCAACAGCCTTCACTCGTCGGGAGGTCGGTAATCTTTTTTTTCTTGTCCCCTCTCAAATAAAAGTAATTAACGTTTTAACAGCGAAGGCTGATGTCATTTAAAAAAAAAAAAAAAGAAAAAAGAAAGAAAAAGAAAAAACACAAGTGTCCCGTCTCTTTGCGAACCGTAATTGTTTCTCTGTCCCCCCTCCCCTCTCTCCCCTCGAAAGCGAGGGCTGAAAGAAATCGAGGAGACCGGAATGGGTGAATGGATCTCTCTCGACGATTTTCTTGATATTTCATCTCCCTTTTTAATTGAAATCCATTACTTAAAAACCGGCTACTGATATTTTCAAACGTGGACTCCTTTGAGGGAGGAGGAGTGGAAAGAAGGAGGGGAGGGATAGGTATTACTGGAAGTACTGGGCGAAGGCAAAAAGGAATCTAGAGCATAGACATCCAGAGGAAGGTTGTTTAACCCGTTGACCTCGTTAAACGGCCACGAAAAAGTTAAGTGAATTTCTCTCTCTTTCTCTCTCCTCCCCCTCTTTCCACGTTCTTCTCTTTCTTTTCTGTTTTTTTTTCTTTCTCCCTTCCTCCTCTTCCTCCTTCTCTTCTTTCGTGAATGTCCCTCTCCATCCTCGTGGCCATCTCTCGAGTTTCAACGAACCCCTTCCAACCCTCTCCTCTTCGTTCCTCCCGTCCAACAGAGTGAAACAGTTAGTTAATTAATTAACAAAATTACGCGGACGAATGGAAATGTATATTTCTGGTGGAAACGGTCGGGAAGACTGTCGATTTTATTCGTGTAATTTCGGGGGCTTGATGAAAAGAAATGGCCATCTGCGCGTGCGCCTCCATTTTAATCTTCTCTCCTGTTGTTGTTGTTGTTGTTGTTGTTGTTGTTTCGTAAAATTTAATGCGACAGATCGAGGAAAATTTGGAGAAAGTGAGCGGAGAGATTCTTCTCGAATAATATAATAAGATAAATTTTAAAGCTGAAGAAACTGGTTTCTGGATCTCTAAAAAATATCTATCGAAACTCGATCTTAAACAAATTTATCATGATCGAATCACAATTGCCCTAATCTATTTCTATGTAGTATAATAAATTTTAGACAATTGTGATCGTTTTAATAATTTTCAATCTATGTATTCATTTTTTACTTCTCACTTACTTAATTAAAACACGAAATCTGTTAGCTCTGTCCTGTAACAGAATCGTATAACGGTGTGCCACGTGACGGGCTGTCTATCTTGCAAATTAGAGCAGCGGGATCAATGGAAGTTGCGCTGGAAAATTCGTTCCCAATCCAATAATGGCTTCTCGGAAGCCGCTAATTAGGAGAATGAGATACGAGGAAGCAAGAATGCCGTCTCTGGAAACCGATAAGATCCGAGTGTTTGCCGTTTCGAGAGCGCGAGAACTCGTCGATCTTGGCTAATTCGAGAGCTGAGGCTGCCAATCCGGATTTACGCCGGATCTATAAATTACGGATCTTCGAATATCTTTGCCAATGATAGCCGTATTAACCGTGGAAAGGGTTACCAATTGCGGTTCCCTCCCCCTCCCCTTGATTTCCACAAGCGTTTCAAACTTGGATCGAAGCATTTGTCGAACGTTTGCATTGGATTGTACAAGTTGCACATACTTTCTTATTATTTTAGAATCAGTCGCAAGTTTTCCAAGAACGAGGGATAAAGAATCGAACGAGGAGTGCAAGAGGGAGGGAAAAGTTTTCGTTTATCGATTTAAGAGAGTGAAATTTTTTATATCGATTGTCGATCACGATTTTGGGTCACGAATCGTTGGTTTGATTGGAGAGGTGTAATTATGTATAATTGTTTTTTCTGACGAGGTGTTTGTTAGTCAAGGTTCTTCTTTGTTGGTTCTGTCATATTGTCAGAAGTGTGATGGTGTTTAGATTAAGTTAGACTTGGAGACTTAGATCACCTAGAAATTTCAATAAGCAATTTCTCTTTCTGTTTATTCGTGAACTGTTGTAATCGAAGGTTGGTGAGAGAATGAGAAAAAATTTTGCTATCTAAAGATTAAAAAAAAAAAAA